GGAAATGGAGCCTATGGGGAAAAATCGCAAAGCGATTTTTCCCCATAGGAAACGACGTTATGTGATCGCAAAAGTGATTGCAAAATCTTCTTCGTTAAGTGAATTCCTCGTTAAACGGGGCACCCGTTAAGCGAGGCACCACTGTATAACCCACAGTGAGTTTAAAAAAAACACTTTAAAACCTGAATGTTGCGATCTTAAATTATTTACAAAGGTGCATCCCACTAAATTTAGAAGGATTTACTTCTGAGTAAACGAGCACAGGATTGTGAGTCAAATCAATGGAGTAACTTTACCATTTACTTTAATGGGCTGATGGATTTCTCAACACGATTTCAACTGTACAGTTCAAATTCTGTCCTAGCTTGAATGTAGAATTCTATCTGTAACATTTTTATTATTTTCCTTTCATGATTCATATAACTGAATCTGTCACTTCAGAAGGGGGCAAGGCTTTTACAATCTCAGATCTAAATGCCTGCTATTGCGATATTTCACTTTTGTTGGCTTTAAAAAAACTAGTGAAAGAGATGCACCATATTAGTCCTTTTATTTTTCATTACAGAAATTCTGCTTTAATAACGTTTGGTCCCATACCTGTTCCAACCACAAAACTGCTGGCATTTCTGTTGAATGTCTCTTAGTTTTGGTTGAGTTGTTATTTGGGTTACATGTTTAACTGTTATTCCTTCCAAGAATGTTGCACCCTAAAAATAAACACACAGGATACAATTTTCTCGCTTTTCATATTGTGAGTTCAACTTATATTTGAAGCAGGAAGTAAGACATTACAGATTTGTCCAACATCCTACTAATGCTGATCCATCCAGGAATAAACTATTGCAATTTGTGCATAGCAGCAACCAATTCTAACAATTCTAAAAGGCAACTTTTAGACAAATTTATGGAGATAACATTACCAACAGCTGCAAATTATGGTATCTATATACTATCTTCATGATCAGAAACACTATGCCTCTGAACACTAGTGAGAGAAAAGAGCTATTTGCCTTTATGTCTTGTTTCCCACAGGCATCTTGTTTGCTAAGGAGGAGGTAGACACTGACTAGGCCCTTAGTCTGATCCAGAAGATTCCTGTGTTCAACCCAATTGACAGGGAGCTAAAAAATATTCACACATAGACTATTTCTGAAATTGAGAAAAAAATTATTGGAAATAGACAGATTCCAGATACAGATAGAATTACAAGAAGCTGAGGAAAGAAGTGAGACAGAAAGCACTGGAGAAGAGGGAAAATTCCATAATGCAGCAGCCCCCAAACCTTTTGGGACCGTGGACCAGCTGAGCCTCTGAGGAAGGCGGAGCATTCCCCCGTGCTCGTGCAGGCGCTCCTGGTCACATGTACAAAGCGGTGGGGGAGCATAAGTGCATGCCAGCACCGGCGTGTCCACTCCCCCACCCCATGCGCAGGGGCACCTGCATACCGGCCCACGTACCCACCCACCACTTCAACGGGCACATGCGTGAAGGGGTGGGGGAGTTATTAAAACAGAAATTCTTCTTTAACAACATTTGGTCCCATACCTGTTCCAACCACAAAACTGTGCAAAGCAGCTGTAGGGAGGGGAATGTATGCAGGGGAGCTGGAGGTCTGTCTCCGTGGCCCGGTCCAGCTCAGGCCACGGACCGGCACCGGGCCATGGACCAGGCGTGGACAACGTCTGCCATAATGGACCAAAGGAGAAGGGGGAAATGAATGTTGTGAGCAAGAGGGAAATAGAAAGCAAAGAATCTATAATCCATTTAGCCACAAAATCTTCAGTCAAAGAAGCTGGGGACAAGTGAATACAGTCTAAAAATCACATTTCACTTTACCACTATGTGCAGTTTGTTGGGCGGTTTTAAGTGAAGAAGTCTAGTTCTTGGGAGGAAAGCAATGACAAACCTTGACAGCATCTTAAAAAGCAGAGATGTCACCTTGCCAACAAAGGTCAGCATAGTCAAAGCTATGGTTTTTCCACTAGCGATGCCTGGAAGTGGGAGCTGGACCATAAAGAAGGCTGACCGCCGAAGAATTGATGCTTTTGAATTGTGGTGCTGGAGGACACTCTTGAGAGTCCCCTGGACTGCAAGGAGACCAAACCTATCCATTCTGAAGGAAATGGATAGTGCTCACTGGAAGGACAGATCCAAGGCTTCAATACTTCGGCTATCTCATGAGAAGAGAAGACTTCCTGGAAAAGACTCTGATGTTGGGAAAGTGTGAAGGCAAGAGGAGAAGGGGACGACAGAGGATGAGTTGGTTGGACTGTGTCACTGAAGCTATCAACATGAATTTGACCCAACTCCGGGAGGCAGTGGAAGACAGGAGGGCCTGGTGTGCTCTGGTCCATGGGATCACGAAGAGTTGTACACGACTTAACGACTAAACAACAAGGGTGAAGTAATCAAATGGTCTAATTGACAGCTTCAAAAACTTATGTGCCTTTTCAGGCTGCACAAACCGAAGGGCATCCAAAGCATGACAAATACCTGCCAAATATACACCTGAAGAACTAACTTCAACACAGAGTTAAATTCTGTCCTCCAAATGTATAACATTGGGCCACCAAGGGATTCCATATTTGTACTTCACAGAGGCAGCCTCTCAGAAATCAGAACAACTGTGTTTAGTGACTCCAGTAGAACACCAAAGTTGATGGAAAAGGAAAAGGTTTCTATTTGCATCACCATGAATCAAACACAAAAATAAACTCTGGACCATACTTTCTGGGATCCACAGCCATCAGAAATGAATCTAGATCCTTTCTTTTTAATAGGCAAGAGATGAGCCACTACAACCTTCCAAAGATTTTTGGATCTGGTCAGCCACAGCCAGCATCATTAGGCATGATACATTCAGCAGCATTCAGGCCAGATTGGGAACAGGTTGCCCATTCCTGCAACAGATCTTTCTTTGCATGTAACCAAATATGAGATTTATAAACATTACCTATGAAAACATTATCTAAATTAAATATAAGACAGAACAGCTAGCTATCTCTGCACATCACCAAATTTGGACATACTACTAAGAACCAATCTTATTGGGACTTTTCTAGGGATGGTAATTTTTGATTTGTTTAGACTATAGAAGGAGAAGCAGAGATAAGCATAACTGGATTAATATTAACCAATATTCCATTTCTGATAACACAATCTTCTCAGAAAAGCATTAAATGGCCTGTGTATATGTATGTGCATATGCACACATATATGTATGCTTGTGTATATAATTTGTCTTCTATCAATACTCTCAGCTACACATCTTGAAAACAGATTTTAACTATCTTTTCCTTCTTCCCATTCCTAAAATGCCTGTCGGTGAAACTGCTGCCGCTTTGTTACATACATTAAAAACACTGACCGATCAAGTGCAACAGTGCACTGAACCAAAACCACACACTTTGGTTGAAGACAGAACACTACAGAAATCAGCAGCTCTGGTAAAGCTCCATGCTGTCAACTAGATGTAGGCAACAACATATAAGATTATATTCTGATTTTATATATATGTCTATACAAAATAACTTGTGCCGCGTAAAACTTACCAAGAATGTTAATTTGTTGAGATAACCTTAATCTTCAGGCTTTTATTTTTTTAAATGAACAAAGAACACTAAAAATCACTCACCAAACACAGCTTTATATTCCTAGAATTTAGACAGACATAAGTTGCACTCCTTGCTATAAGCCAAGCTGAATCTATCAATCAAGCATTGCAACCCAACTCCTCTCCACTATGGTGCTCGAAAAAGGGAATGCATCAAAAACATGCAACAGAAACATGTATATTTGTTCCGTCAGATTTTTCTGGCTTTGAGTTTTGCTTTAATTAAAAAGCTTATTTGCACAATTTAGCTTTATAGTTTTTCACATTGATAGGTGCTAAAATGAGAACGTCATGGAGAGTCCTCTCCTTCTGTGTTGTAAATTAACAAATCAGAACAAAGTTTCATTTAAACAAAGGAGGATGTGGTTTGATTTGTGGATAGCAGCTTCACATTCACACTCCTCCAGCATAAGCAGAAGGGAAGAAAGAATTGCCCTCGGCCCCAGATCATATCAAGGTGGGATTCTGTTTCACATTGTTTCACATTAGTGAAAATGTACACATTACTTACTACTGCAAATGACCTCTCGAATGGCAGCGCTTCAAAAGCTCGTTCCCCATAGTAGGAGCTGCAAGTTCCCTATCGGAAGTTATTTTGAACCAACTTCCTATCATCTTAAGAAGGAATAGCAGCAAGTGACACAAATATCACATGGACATTGCTACTGACATCACCTGGACTTCTTGCTGCTTTGGTTGGGCCTAGACCCATTCCATAAAAAGCAAACAAGAGGGAGATTGGTTGGGTGCATTATTTTCCTTGTCTGTAGCTTAGAATGTGTAGGTGGTAACTGGGACAAGAAGTCTACAATGGAAAATAGCTGCATTTTGGCATAAAGGGAGTAAATTGGGTAAATGTTAATAAAACTAAAATGAATAATTGTTTTCAGTTTCTACATCGTTACTTCGTCAAGGTATCCAAACCTAATATGTACAATTGAACCCTGCAGGGATGGGATTTTCTAATATTTAGGACTGCCAATCCTAGATGTTGCTTACAGTCCACCAGGCAGACTTCTGAGATTGGAAGAAAGAAGACACAAGAGAAGCCTTTCTACCACCACTGTCTGCTTCATTTCCAATGCATCGACTGGGAATGCTCCTTCAGAACCAGAGATTGCTGAAAATTGCCCTAGTGCACCCCAGGCAGGATAGTTTCACTACCCATCAAGGGGAGCTTCTCACTGAACTACTCTTCCTGTGGAGTACTGGGGTAATGTACACCAAACTGCCTGTAAGATTCTAGGAGATTTTTGAGACTGGATGTCCTTGAATTCTAAAAATCCCATCTTTAGTTGAGAGTTCAGAAACAGCTGGAGTTTGTGGCGCTTAATTAAGCCATCACTCTGTAATGGGAATGGTGCAGTGTATCCTCTGTATCACTGTAAAAAACAATGATCATTATACATACCAAGTGAACTTGCTTTGGCATAAATAGGAACTGCTGTTTCAATACTGCAACCAAAAGCTTTCTTACAGCTGCAATCAAAGAGTAAGTTGCAACTGGAGTAGACCCATTGAATCAGTGGGGATCTGGGGAGCCAACACCTATGTAAACTGCACTGATTCAATGGACTTAATCTAACTGCAACTTACTACTACAGGCGTACCTTGGTTTACGAATTTAATGCCTTCTCCAAAATGTTTCGTAATGTGAAAAATTCACAAACCGAAACATGGTTTCCCATAGGAATGCGTGCACGGGAGTGGCACTATAAACCTCCCAGGCGCAATGCAAACTTGCTTTGTATTGAGGAAAAAATTCGTAAACCGAGGTATTATTTTCAATGGATTTTTGTTTGTAAACCGAAAATTACATCAACTGAGGTGTTCGTAAACCAAGGTACCACCGTAGATTTCAGCCTATATTTCCTAGCTGAATACCAAATGTAGACTATCAATAATAAATAAAAACAAATATTCCTCTGAGAGCAACTACACATTTAGAAAAGCACAGAGAAAGCCCTTGTTGACTGTGTAGTGCCTTGGAATGTATAAGTTTACTTTAGAAATAGGCAACTTTGACTAGACTGAGGGCCAGTTTTGCCCTCAAGGCCTACTGCAGTACATACAAGGCTGGGAGAGAGGGAATGAATTTCCAAAGTTAGGGCAAATTAGAGGTCTAAATGTTTTCCACAGCACAGCCGGTTGCACAAGACACAGAATATGTACATTGTTTTTTGCACTACAGCCTGTGGAAAAGTTAAACCCATCACATTTAGTGCATACACATAAAAGAGATATATGAAGGTCCAAGGATTCATAATCTTCTACATCCAGGATTCTTGCAGAGGCGGAAAACTTTCCTCAACCCATATCTACGCAACAAAAAATAAAAAACTGATCCTTCAAATAATACGTCCCAATTCAAGAAAGGGAGGACATTAAACAACTACAAGCAAATTGCACAGTGAGACAAACCATGGGGATGAAATGCCAGATCACCAAGCAGTGCAGACACAGGACCATTTATATGATTCTTTCAAAAGCCTCCATGCTTCCATCCTGAATCACTACTGACTCCTCATTCAGACCGCAATCCCTGAAAACACTATGGCTGCAATCCAACAAGCTTCTCAGTAGCCTTCAAGGCTTGCAAATAGTCGAAAATATCTGACTTTTTCCCATGGTCAAACAAAGATTCCATCACGTCTTCTCAGAAATTTGCTGAAAAGAGCGTATATCAAACCCAAACTTCAGTAGCTATAATATAAGCATTTTATGTGCAAACCCTCCCGCCTCCACTTACAGGTGCATTCTATATAGTGTCTTTTTCTCTTTAAACATCTGCAGTATTTCAGGATTCAGAGTACAATCAATACAATAAAATTAGGTCTCTAGCTCTACAGCTACAAATAATCTTAAGACATTTTGCTTAGCATAACACTGTCAGTGACAATAATTCTGTTAAAACAAGGCTCATGAACAAACAAATCAAGCTCTTTTCTGGACAGCATTACCAGCTTCAAGTGTTCTTTTCTTCTTTTGGCAGAAAAGGATGCTGAAGAGCCAGCTTCTGATTCAGGGGTTCCTGGTTTACAGTTATCATCCTCTTCTTCTTCATCATCTTCATCGAAGCACCATTCCGGTAATGGAGGAGGAGGTGGTGCATCCTCTGCCTCACCATAACGACGGAAGAGTTCTTTCAAATAATCAGCTTTATAAATACCAGGTGGCCTGGCTTGAGCAAAAGTAGCCACTGCTGCTTCAATACTGCAACAAATTGCAAAAGCAAATGATAAATACTTTTGAATATTATTGAGAAATATTCCCAAAGAACAAAGACTGAGCAACATGTAGCAAAAAGATCCCAACTCCAGTCCAATAGGAAAGCAAAGAATTCTTCCCAACCAGGTCTGATAAAATGCCGTAACAAGGCTGCCCATCCATTTCAACAAATCATAAGGAGAAAGTGTCCAACCCATAAGAAGGCCAAACCTGAAGAAATATGACTGAAAACACGAAACACCTAGGCAGAGGTTGTAGCTTTTACTGACTATGCAAAATACCAGTTCCTGTTCTTCTGTGTTACTATCTCAGCAGCCAAGGCTTGGGGCTCAAAAAACTCTGCCAACTTCATTAAACTCTGATGAATGTCTTTGTTAAGGACCTAGGAAGTTTAGCAAACACTTACCACAGCACTCTACTTTCTGAAAGTGGGTTTTAAAAAGTGTCATAATAATGTGCCAACAGAACATTACACGGGAAGTGCAACAGAGAACTATGTGAAGACCGTTTTCTCACAACAGCACATACAAATAAAGTGAAAATTATACATATTCAGTTTCAGTCACAGACAACATGTCTTGTATTAAGCAGCAGCTTTGCACTTTCACAGAACACAACTATCTTGGGGGAACAAAACCTGGTTATTAAAGGAGAACATGCAGTAGGGCTCCCAGCAATTGACTAATGATCTCTCAAACTAATTGTAAAACTCATTTCAGCATTCAGTATGCATCTACAGCTTCCCTGTTCCATGTGCTTAAGGGACAGATCGACTAATCTATAGAGTCTTCTACAGGGAACACATTTCTCATTGGTAAATAATGCTTGCTAAGTTGAATGAATAATGTAACAAACAGGACTTATATAAAGAAGGTGCATCCATCAGATATTGCCACATTTCCCCGAAAGATACATATTTCCCAATAGATTTCTCTTCATGTTTTTAATAAACTGTATTTTAAACCTTCTGTTTTATCAAACAATGGCTCTCTCTGACAGAGGTCAACAGAATTGAACAGATTTAATGACTATAATTAGTTACTTGCCAGAGGAAAGCTATCTAACATGGTCTGACAAGATCGTTACACACACACTCATTTCTAAGAAAACAAGTGGAGTAACTATGTCAGTGTGTTGCAGCAGTGTCTTTCACTGATTTCTTTTTGCATTTTATTTACCCAACTTCACTTTTCTTAATCTTCTCACATATAGATATAGGCTTACTAAATTACTGTGTGTATAAACCAATTTAGGGATATCTCAATTACCCAATTCAGTTGACATCTACTACTATATAAATAGTAGTCCCCTGGACTGCAAGGAGAACAAACCTATCAATTCTAAAGGAAATCAACCCTGAGTGTTCACTGGAAGGACAGATCCTGAAGCTGAGGCTCCAGTACTTTGGCCATCTCATGAGAAGACTCCTTGGAAAAGACCTTGATGTTAGGAAAGTGTGACGGCAAGAGGAGAAGGGGACGACAGAGGATGAGATGGCTGGACAGTGTCTGCGAAGCAACCAACATGAATTTGACACAACTACAGGAGGCAGTGGAAGATAGGAGGACCTGGTGTGCTCTGGTCCATGGGGTCACGAAGAGTCGGACATGACTAAACGACGACTATACTGTATAAATAAGCTAAACTACTGTGGGAACCACTATTCTTCAAACTTCATTTATGATTGTAACTATTAATTGGCTATGACCAAGTTACTGTTTGCATTTTCATCTGAACTCATTTATTTGCAAATACATTTTTCTAATTAGTTTGCATTTCCTTTGCTTATTTAACTTTTAAACCATTCAACTCAATTAAGCCCTAATTAAGCCCTATCTATCCATTACAATCACTATAGAGAACATTGCTCCTATAATTGGAGAGCAATCAGTCTGAAGAAGGTAAACCTCTGATATCCAGGGAGACAATCCACTTGAATTGTAAAACCAGGATCATAACAGAAATAGGAACAGTGGATGCCCTCATCAGACTCATCACTGATGCATAAGAGAACATCACCACTGGAAAGTAGACGAGCCTTCACCAAAGCACTCTCTGTAGTGATTATAAGGAGACAGACATTCTCTTAATAAGAGTACAGCTAATGGGGATCCAGCACCACTAAATGTGCCTGATCTAAAAAATTAAAAATTAAATAAAGATGGGTGAATATTTCTTCCTTTTGTCTGTCACATTTAAGTGCTATTTTGCAGCAAAGTTTAAAATTACAGTGGTGCTTTGCAAGACGAATTTAATTCGTTCTGCAGTTAATGTTCTCTTGCGAAAAATTCATCTTGCGAAATGTGTTTTCCCATAGGAATGCATTGAAATCTAATTAATGCGTTCCTATGGGCAAAAAAAAAGTCAGAACAAAGTCAATTTTGGTTTGGATTTATTAAGTGCTCTTTAAAGCCATATATATTGTGCAGATGATTTCAAAAATTTCAATCAAAAAACTTTTTAAACATCATAGAAAAACATTTAAAAATCAGCAAGCATGAGGCAGGAACAAAAAAATGGAAAACATTTGTTCTTTCAAAGCACAGCCATAGGATCATTTGTCTTGCGTGTCATTAACCCCATTGCCAAAACCATTCGTCTTGTGAGTTTTTTGTCTTGTGAAGCATTTGTCTTGCGAGGCACCACTGTACATGCGTACAGTTCCTTAGCAATGAGCCAAATTAACACCACCTAGCCTTCCAAAAGCAGCATGATACAAGGTAACTATGAGGTAACAGAGTTTCATGGACAGGTACACGCCCTTAGGATACTGCCAAGTAAATGAAAATATTAACTCAGTTCAAAGATTTAGATGTAAATGTATCTGATCAAAACAAAACACAGAATTGGGAATGCAACATGAGTACTTGTAAAGCACAGGGATTAGGTGAGACTGAAATGATTCATCCTATTACATAAGTGCAGCATAGCATGCAGGTAATACATTAAGAACTAGCTGATAAACTATGGAATACTAGAAGGACATGATGAGAAGTGCCTTTTAAGCAGGGACAGGTAACTTAGAAAAGTCCAAAGGCCACTTGCATCCAACCTTGGCTCTTGCAGGGCTACCTATACCCCCGTGGGTCCACCTCTCTCTGAAATATTTTTCTTCTAAAAATGGTGCTTTTAAACAGAAAAGGCCCTCTCATGCCTTCTAACCCCCACCCCCAACTGTTTTAAACTTACAGAAAATTTGTAGCCAGCAGACTGGGAACCTATCACATAACAAAATTCCCTCCCACACTCCCTAGAGGGATGTTTAGAGACTTTTAAAAAATTAAAAAGAAATAGGGGGGGCACATGATGGCACTAAGGACAGCACTGGGTTGCTGGGAGCCACATACGGCCCATGAGATGCTCTTAACCTGTTCTGCTTTGAAGTAATTTTACCCTAAGAAATGCAATGTCATTGTTTAAAGACAATAAATGCAAGTGCTCAGACTATGTACGTAACATTGTACACACTAAATGTGTTGGGGAAATGTGACCAAAGCAATACATCCCCCTCTAAGACTAAATTCAGAGGAAGCATGAAAAACTGAGTTCTTGAAATTAAGGTGAACACTGAAGGCACATGAACAATGGCAAATCCATGCCTTTTACAATCAGAATAAGTCAATGGCTGAAATCTTGTTGCTTAGCAGTCAGTTAAATTAGAGTAAACCTATTTTGATCAATAGAAATTACAAAGGAATTGACTATCCAAATCCCCACTGATTCAGAGTGCCTACTCTAATTATGACTTACTACACTATACAACAGGAGTCACTATGATAAATCTGATACCAGAAAAAATCTTACTTAATGTGAATTTAAGAGTGAGATTATACTCATTGTTTAATAGTTTAGTGCAGGCCCTTTCTTTCCACTAAGACACAGGTATTCTTTCTGGAAAGTTCTGGGAAGAGATTGAAAGGAGAGAGAAAATGCAAACAATATTGATATTGTCTGGTATGTTTATAGTCTATAGGGAGTAGCAATAATGTTTCGTGTTAAAAATCTGGCAGGATATAAATAATACAACAGTCTATAAGGATAAACACAGAAAACCAATTTTCTGATAAACAGAAGACCTCTCAGTATCATAACAAACATATCCAGTGGCCAAACAATAAAAACAGAAAATTAAAACCAGAAATATGAGCAGCATAAAATCTTCGCAATTGTTTTCCAAAACAAAGCAGTAGCAGATTCCACATATCTCTGAGCACTTAACGTCACAACAGAGTATCAAAATGCAGGCTTCATTCAGGTTAGCAAAATAACAGAATCTGAATAATCTTATGTACTGCATAGGATACAAATGCTTTAGAGACCTTTGGGTAGTGTAGGTGGCAAATAAATAAACTAAATAAATACAGTGGTGCCCCACAAGACGAGCACCCCGTTTAACGACAAAATCACATTACAACGAAGTTTTAGCGATCGCTTTACAATGGTTTCAATGGGGAAATTTCACTTTGCGATGATCAGTTCCTTGCTTTGGGAACCGACTCTTGCAAAACAATGATTTTCGGCCAGCTGATCGGTGGTTTCAAAATGGCCGCTGGGTAAAAAAAATGGCTCCCTGCTTTTTTCTGGGACAGATTCCTCACTGCACGGGCAGCGAAAATGGCCGCGCTATGGAAGATCTTCGCTGGACGGTGAGTTTCAAGCCCATAGGAACACATTAATCGGGTTTTAATGAGTTTCTATGGGCTTTTTTATTTCACATTACGTTTTCGTTCTACAGCGATTTCGCTGGAACGAATTAACGTCGTAATGCGAGGCACCACTGTATGCCTGCTTATCAGTGAGTGAGCAAGTACTGTAAGTCTCCCATCTTCTGCTTCAGAGAAATCAATGAGTACATTGCAGAGAATGTAGACTACACCTTCTAAACCTTCAGTGAGCACCACTCCTCTCTCCAACAAGAGGCCCCCACGTCTTGCTTTTGTGTCAAAAATAGAAAAAGCTGGTACAGCCTGAACTGTGCAGGGGTAGAAATGTCCCCCTAGACTGCCCAAATTGTCCACACTGCTCTAGGATATTGTCATTGGCAGGTGGGAATGCTAAAGGGGAAATATAAGGATGTAAGTCATAAATCAGGTCCATAAGCTCTGTGTGCCCTCTAGAGACCAAGTGAGGCTTTTTTCACTTTCTTCCTCAAAATGCCTGTCCAGACTGGTCATTTTCGATGTGGGGTGGATCGGGCTACAAAGGGTCTGTTGAGGTGGGGTGAGAAGATTACTGTGCCATTTGGCACACACCTCCCATTCCCACAGCAAAGGACCCCTTGTAGCCTATCAAGTATCAATTGCATACTTTCCCTGATCCTCTGCAAAGGGACAGGGAAATAGGATGATCTCCTGTGCTACAGATCCATTCAAAGCCAGGTTTACTTGTAAGCAAAGAGAAGGTGGCAGCAACTTCTTCAATCTTCCATTATATTTCCCTCACTGAAACTTCCTGCTTACTTAATTGGGTACAGTCTGCTCATTTTGCCTTTCTTAATCTTGTTGATCTGATCTGTTTGGGCATCAAAGAATCCCAGGACTGGAATTTCCCAACACTGTTGCTGCTGTAGCTGGCTCATCACAGTGCCCTAGCAAAGCACTTTAAAAATTATTTGGGGGGATTTGTGACTGGGTTTTATTGGTTAATTTGAGAATGCTTTTGGCTGTCAGGGAATGAACAATATTTTATGAAATGAAATAGAGATTATCTATTAAGTTACATCCTTGGACCCTATCTAGGAAAAAGGCAAGGTAAAACTATTTTAAATAAATAAATAAACAAATAAATCCTTTATTATCCTCTTATTTAGACACGTTTTCACAATGGAGTATAATATAAATTTGAATGCTATTATTGAGAGGGAGACATTTAATTTTAAATGGATAACAAAAATAAAATAATTTCATTATTATTCATCTGTATCATGTATTAATGTTGTTTATTATTAATATAAAAACAATGATGCAAATTAGTCTGACCATGCCCCTTCTAAAAAGGTGGGGTTCATGCTTGCTTATAATACAATCCTATGCCTGTCTATGTAGAAACAAGCTCCACTAAGTTAAATGGGATCTTACTTCCCAGGAAGTGCGTACAGCATGCAATTTTAAAAATAAAAATAGTCAACACGCAGGATTTCACTATTTGCAAACTCATTACTAATTTCAAAGGCATTTCTTGAGAGAGAGAAATAGTAATTGAAAGTAGCAACCAGCTATCTCCTGTCTGGTGACAATACAGCTTATCAACTACTACTCAACAATGTTACTTTCCCACATTAACAAACAGTTGTAACAGGTACAACTATGCCAAAAATTAGCATCAAATATCATGATTATCCTTGCAAATTGTATACTAAAACAGCAGAACACATTAAAATTTGATTAAGCCATAAGCATTCAATCCATGCATCAAACTATAAAACACATATCTATGCATAGCCAGCAAAATTCTGCCCTTTAAAAAGGCATTTATTATTTATTTATTTTTATCATTTGTAGGCCACCTTTCTCCTGGTAAAAGGACCCAAGGTGCTCACAATGTCAAAAGTAATACTAAAAACATAATTATAAATTAAAAAGCAATTTAAAAGGCATAACATTACCTCCAGTCCAGTTTCTCAACCAGAAAGGCACAGATAAGAAAACCAGTACGATTGAAACCATGTGTACAGTGAACACCTAAAAATCAAGATAAAGAAGAAAATAGTTCAAGTTATAGAAACTGTTTAAAGCCTCAAATGATTTATACTGACAAGTACCCTTGAGACATGCTCCCCTTTAAAATGTTATCTGTCTACAGCTGCTGTTAAGTGTTTCACCCTCCTCCTTCCTTCCTTTTATCCTTGTCACGTATTTGGAACAGCAGCTCTGTGCGACAAAGTATCTGCACAGGAATTAGAACAGGTTAACTAAAAGGATTCCCTAACTACATACAGTGGGGTCTCTACTTAAGAACGTCCCTACTTAAGAACAATTCCACTTAAGAACAGCTCCATTTGCTAAATTTTGTTTCTACTTGAGAACAGAAATCCAGATAAGAACAGGAAAAAAAACTTTCCTGCTCTTTTTTTAACCTTAGGTCATCTTAGGTTAAAAAAAATTCTCCCCCTAGTGGTAGAGTACGTATTAACCAGCTTTGCATTAGTTCCTATGGGAACTAATGCTTCAATGTACGAACGCACCTCTACATAAAAAAAACAGCCAGAACGGATTAATTGGTTTTCAGTCCATTGCTTCAAAATTAGCTTCGTCAGAAGTGCTTTTAACACTGTTCCCTGACCTAAGGGGGAAGAAAGAAAAAAATCCCCCTCTAGTGGTAGAAGGCGGAATAGCAGCTTCCCATTAGTTTCTATGGACGGAAAAGAGCAGATACGGCTTAAATGGTTTTCAATGCATTCCTATGGGAAATGCAGATTCCACATAAGAACTTTTCCACTTGAGAACCACCTTCCAATACGGATTAAGTTCTTAAGTAGAGACCCCACTGTAATCCCTCACTGCCTTGCCTTTACTACAAAGTCAAGCCTGGTGACAGAAGAGCAACCTCATACAGAACACAGTTTCTTCAAGGAGAACTAGTTTAAGCATGGCCATCAAGTCGTATTTCATTCTCTAGATCAGTGATCCCCAACCTTGGGCCTCCAGATGTTCTTGGACTATAACTCCCAGAAGCCTTCACTACCACCTCTGCTGGCCAGGATTTCTGGGAGCTGAAGTCCAAGAACATCTGGAGGCCCAAGGTTGGGGACCACTGCTCTAGATCACTGGTTCTTAACCTTGGGGGTTACTCAGGAGTTTTGGACTGCAACTCCCAGAAGCCTTCACCACCAACTGTGCTGGCTGGGTTTTCTGGGAGTTGCAGTTCAAAAACATCCAAGTAACAAAGGTTAAGAACCACTGCTCTAGATAATGATTTTTTAATAACTCTGCAACTCAGGGAAAAGAAGAAAAACAGCTATCAACTCTGCACTCACCTATGGGGCAAGGCCCTGTTCTAGGATATTCAGTGCCCTACCCAAACCTGCAACTGTTTCAACTCATTTTGCCCAAGCAGTCACCACTTCACAAATACCCTGACAGCATCAACTCTTTACCAGCTGCCACCCTTTCTGTCCTTCCTTCCTTGACCCACCACAATGCAAGAAGCAGAAACAGCCACAGTAGGATCATGGTCTGCAACTATTCTTGGAGCAGCTGAAAAAATGATAAGCAACATTGGGGAAATTGTAAGCAATTTGTCTATTAGTAGCCTTTTTAAAGAAGAATCCAGAATTGTATATATACTTCAAGTTCTTACTCACACTGCTTAAGACAGACTGTGGAGATGAAGTGTACTGCACATTAAAGATGACAACACATACCTGCTGATTCATTATATTCCTTTGAATGGCCTCCTTTAAAAGGCTAATGTTCTTATAGCAGAAATACCCTCATGAAATCTTACTGCTGTTATTCATTCACACCAATAACCCACATAAAAGCAGCTTAACATCAATTACTGATACAAACAAGTGTCAAATTGCAGTGCAGTAAGCCTTTGTAGGAACCCCAGGAAGGGCCAAAAAGAATTTGTCACCTGAAACCTCGAAAGAAAGAAAAATTGCACTACAATTACTTGCAAACAGAGCTCTACAAAGACTTAGTAATATTAGAACAGGGTAGAAAACCCTTTCAGTCCTAAAAGCAGCTGGTGTTGTTGGCTGGAGTAGGGACAGCGAGGCCTAAATGTATGTGTATACACACACTGCACAGAGGGATAGAGAAGTTGAAACCTCCCTTCCCTGCCCACTGAGAACTAGTGCAAATTGCCACTGAGACAGGTGTTTCTCCACTGCTATTTCCAGTGCAAAAATAGCAGTCTTGGAAATGGAATCACTTAGGGATGAAAGAGGCTCCTGCAATTACTCCATTACGGTTATGTTATGTGCCATCAGGTCGGAGCTGATTTATAGCAACCGTAATAGGGTTTTCAAGTTAAGCAAGACATTTAAGGAATGGCTTTGCCAGTTCCATTCCCCCAAGGAGTTTCCATGGCCAAGGAGGGATTCAAAACCGGGTCTCCTGAATCCTAGTCCCTCACTCTATCCACTGCACCACACCAGGTATCTTGTAAATTCCATTAGTACAACTTTCCAAATTCCACCACTACTAGCTGATAGTGGCAGAATAACTGGGAACATGCAGACTGTACACCCTCAATTACAGCATCACAACAGATAAAGGAAATAACTTCTTCATAAGACCTACAATTTCTGGAAGACGTATGGCTTCAATAGCTTTGAAAGGTTATCAGGCAAATCCACGGAGGGCTGGTTCTATGCAGCAGCTATGAACAATGTTAAATTGGACCTCCAGGTTCAGCACACCAGCCCTATTCCAATGTTTTTAAATCTAAGTTATTCAACATACTTCGAGCTACCTAGGCCCACTTGCTCTGTCATTGCTTCCTTCACATAAGTGGAGAAGCAAGGACCCCGGCTGGATAGTTCATTGGTTTAGGTATTTGGCTACAGAGCCAGAGGCTGGGAGTTTCATTCCTCACTGTGCCTCCTGTGAGAGAAGCCAACTTGTGTGACCTTGGGCAAGCTGCACAATCCCAGGGTAGCCCCAGAAGAAGGGAATAGTAAACCACATCCAAGTACTCTCTACCTGGAAAACCCTGAAAAGGGTCACCGTAAGCCAGAATTGACTTGACAGCACATAATGATTATTATATACGTATGTGTGAGCAGGAATCAGTGCAAGATGCTGAGAGTGTGCTGTCCCCTCAATCATCCAAAAGGGAAAGTAAAGAAAAGGGAAATGAGAGAGAGACATCAAAGGCACATGGAGAAGAGGAAGAGATGAAAGAATTAAAAGTGGTGGAAAAGGTGGAGGAGTTGGAGGTGCGCAAAACAGAGAGGAGGTTAGAAGATATAAAGGGAAGGGAGGGAAAGGGGGAGGAATCAAGGGAAGGGAGTCCAAAGAAGGTAGACGTTTTCCTCACAACTGAAGAAAATGGTCAATCTAAAGCAGGGGTGTCCAACCTTTCACCTTCCCTGGGCCACATTAGAAGATGAAAATTTGGTTTGGGCCGCACATACATTTGGTTTGGGCCGCATGGGGGGGGGGCAGCCCTAGCCTTCCTCCACAGCCCCGCTCCAAGCGTGCTTACCGGCAGTTGCGATCTCAGACAGCAGAGGCTGCCAGCTTCGACTCCGGCAGCTTTATGGGGCTGGGAGGGGGTCCCCTATTGACGGGGATGGCGCAATGCAGTCACGCAGCCCCCTTGTCCCCTCCCCTCCCCCTCCTTCCTTCCTTCCCTCTCTCCCCCTCTACTGTTGTGACATGCCCCGGCCACATTCCAGCCACAAGCACCAGCAGTGTAACTTGCAACTTTGGAATTTCTTTAAAAATAAAAAAATTGCACTGGGCCGCATTATGAGCTGACCTGGGCCGCATGCGGCCCTCGGGCCGCTGTTTGGACAAGCCTGATCTAAAGAGATGCAAAAGGTAGTATTATACAAAGATGAATGGATGAAAACAGAATCGTCTTAACCAAAGTTATTTAGAATACCTGGAAAGGGTGTGAAATAAGGAGATAGTGTCAAAGAAGGCGTAAAGCAAATAATCGAGGGATTGCAGCCAGAAGAATGGACAGTGTTAGTTTATCCAAAAGGATGAGGTCCAGTGAGATACGCCCACCGTCCCAAACCTCTTCAGCTGGGCAAGAGACCCCCCAGAGGGAGAATAGAGCCGGCACCCGTGTTGCGGAACTATTTGTGTTATTCAGAGCTGATACCTGAGGAGACCCACAGAGCAAGAGAAGTTTGTGAAGACCGTTAAGAGAAGGACTGTTAGATAAACCATTATTATGGGACTGTTCACCCAACAAGTTATCTTTTAATGAACCAGTTGAAAATATTAAAGATAAACAGCCGAGTTACGTTAATAAAAATGTATTTGATGAAACTCCTTTATTGTCATTCCATTCACAAAATGAGGAACTGTCAAAGATATTAGACGAACCCCGTTACGGTACGCAAGCAGAATTTTTTGGGGGGGCTCCCATAACATGACATGATAGAGACAGCCATGTTAGGAACTCCACAGTAAGCACGCTGATGAAGTTTATTTAAAGTCTGAACAAGGCTACTATGCCTCAAAATACTGCCAGGACTTAGAAAATATATTTTGATGAGCTACAAGTCCCAAAATCCCAAATCAACATGCCACCTGGATTCTTGGGAATTAACAGTCCAAAAACATAATTTCCCTAAGTTCTAAATACTAATTTCTGGGAGTTTTTAAGAAGGTAGTTGTGCTGTCTGTTCCAGCAGCAACAAAACAAAACCAATATGCCCTGTGGCACATTTATGAGTAGATTTTGTGGATAGTCTCTGCTTCTTCAAACACAGGGAGCTCATGGTTGTTGTAAACAGCCCGAAAAACCTACAACAACCATCTGATCCCGGCCATGAAAGCCTTCGAGAATACACAGGGAGCTCAGTTTGTGCTCCATGTGTCTAAGAATTCCCCACATGAGAAGTCACACTGAAATACATTTCTTCATCTTAAATCTGCTGCAGTATTTTTGTGTTTATTTTCTGCTAATTTCTAAGATAAGAGTTATTGACTTCATGCCCTTCACTCCATGACTGGTTACGATGCAAAATGGAATACTGTACTAGACTACATTC